GGAGAACAACTAACTTGTGGTGAGCCATAAAATTTAGAGAATAAAAAAAAAAAGCTGTTATTTTTTTCTATATACCTTAAAAAATTAGATAATTATAAAATTCTGTTGTACGTTTCGGAAGTTATGTAATGTACAGAATTATTTTTAAAGCTTTTTTTAAAAATAAAATTAATAGAAATATTTATGTTTGTTATTGAAATAAAAAAAAATACTTGCGCACACGTAAACGCAGATGTTCACAATTTAAATGAACTCGAAATGGACATCTATTTTTGCGCGGGCTAATTTCACTTTCAGTCTATATTCTAAGCCCAACATTCGCTTGGTTTATGATTCCTGATTCTATCATTAAAACGAACTTATTTTCATAAGAAATACTTAAAAAAAACATCATCAATTTTGTTGAACAATTAACTTATTAAAAATTTTTCTCCAGGCGTCCCTCTGGGATTAGGGACCCTGAAGTTTTAATTTCATTAGTTCCCTAGTAGATCTGCCTCTTCACTGGGTACGTGATGATGGTTATCATATATACTTAAGTGAAGAATTTCCTTTTCATGCTGCGTCATGCGTTATTTCACCATAACGCGGTAACATTATAATTTCGAGTTTAAAAACAAGAAAAGCAAATAACATCTTAACAATATCCAGAACTATGGATATAATTGCGAGATCCTAAACGTTTGGACAATATTTACATTCCCTATACCCAGAAAGAAAAAAAATCAATAAATAAATATTGTTCAAAGAGCGGAACCTACTTATGTCCCCAGGTGAATGACAATATTATGATCACCTGCTTATTAAGTTATTGGTCCAACATATGCACACCAAACAGTTCTTAGCCGATCGGCTATAGATTCTATACTGGGTTCCTCTGGGAATCTTATGCCAAGATCTTGACAGCATATTGTTTAACTGCTGGAAATGCTGAATAGGACGTGTAATTTTCTTTATTTCCATTTCCGTACAGTTCAAGATGATGTAACTCAAGTTAATTTTTTCGCTTATCACCCGGATTACTCTATAGGATTGGGTTTCCAAGTGCCTTCTAAAGTCCACTTCAACTCTACACTTCTCACGTCCCCGCCTAAACCTCGAAATATTATTTACTATTTATTTATTTTATTTTTTCTCCTCAATATGAGTAGATAGGTTCGCCTATCGCCCGGGTCACACACCTCCTCAGTTTTTTTTTTTTACTTTGTTTCCTGTTTAGAGTTTTATTTCCGGTTCATTCTAAAGTTTACTTCGACTCTATATTTCTAGCGTCTCCATCTGAACTCTGAAATATTATTTACTAATTATTTTTCACCTCACTAGAAGTACTCTCCTAACGTCCGGTTCAAATTCCTCCCCGGTATTTTGAATGGGAATATAGGTGCATCCCTTGTTTCCTGTTTAGGATTGGATTTCCGGTTTCTTCTAAAATCTTTTCATTTACTTTCATTCCCAGTAGCTTCTTGTATCTTAGCGGTATTATCGCCTTTCTTGGGGTAAATAGATAAGAAAAGACTCGTGCTGTGTGATAGGACATATTGTAGGAAGTTGTTGAGATAACTGGAAAGCGACAAATATAAATGATAGAATGTTATCCAAAACTTCACGTTGTCTCCAGGATCTTACAGTTTTCCCATATTATACCCGGACGCATTCGCTTCCACAGTATAACGACACACACATAATTTGCTTTCCATCTTATTCAGAAAAAAGGCAAGAATCATCGAACGAGACGACCTTGTTCCACTGATATATTCCACTTCCATATTGGTAACTCTGACAAACTTGCGTCTGTCTTCTACGCAACATGTATATTTGGAGTTGCATTTCTTTTTATCTTGATTAAATGTATGACAATTTCTGCCACAGTCGCTATTCTATTGGGGCGTACTTGACGGAAAACAACTCCACTCGCTCTTCGCATTGTCAAGTCGTAACTACCCACTGCCTAGTCAGTGGTTTCTGATATTGCCCTGCAATTGAATGTCACTACTTTAGAAGCCGTGTACTTTTAAAATAGTCTTCTGGCTATAATATTTGGCCTATAAAACATTCACTGAAATCTTTCTTCTTGCCGATAACTACAGCATTGAACATCTCAAAATGAAACATTTGTAACCGGTTGACCTGATTATATAACCTCTGAGCCTGACGTGCAGTTGTTACTTTGTGTACATGTCGTTGGTCATAATGTTTTAGCGAATGAAGAAAAAGCAGGCAATTCGATTTTAGAATTAGTTTTGGGTAGCTGCTCGTATATGCGGAGTTTAAACAGACACACATACACACAAACATACATAAAAAAAAACAGACACACGCACACCTACAGACAACCACACACATAAATACACACACATACAGATAAACGCACACCTACAAACGAACACACACACATACAGACAATCACACACATATAAACACACACATAAAGACAAACGCACACTAACACACACACAAACTCACGCACACACACGTACAAAACACGCACAAAAACACACGCACACACAAACAAAAATACACACTCACAAGCACACACTTACAAACACACATACACAAACACATGCATAAATACACAAAAACACGCACATAATCTGTTGGAGAAAATAAGTATGAAGCATATTGCAAAAAGATTTTTTTTTTTTTTCTCTTTTTTTAAAAAATGTTCTGTGGACGTAACTTTGTTGGAAAATATTAATCTCGAAGTTTCTAATTGTGATTGGAACGCTACATACACGACTCATATTATCTTCATGTCTTGAAGGTATCCCGAGAGAAAAACCTCAACGACGAAAAAAAAAAAAAACAATTTGGTTTATTAAATCATATATATATATATATATATATATATATATATATATATATATATATATATATATATATATAGGGTTATTCAAATGATGAATCGATTTCAACGAATGAAAAAATAGAAAAACAAAACAATTTGGTTTATTATTAATCATATATATATATATATATATATATATATATATATATATATATATATATATATATATATATATATACAGGGTTATTCAAAATGATGAATCGATTTCATTACGCAATATTTTAATAAGGAAAAGCAATAGAAAACTCCAGTCAAAGACAATAATTTGGTTTATTATTAATCATATATATATATATATATATATATATATATATATATATACAGGGTTATTCAAAAATGATGAATCGATTTCATTACGCAATATTTTAATAAGGAAAAGCAATAGAAAACTCCAGTCAAGTCACAAGTATTCTACTCGCAATCAATTTTTATTTCCGATCTTACAAGTGTTCAATGTGGCCACCACCCGTAGCACGGGCAACATCAATGCATTAAGAGAATTCATTTCAGGTGCGTATCAGCATATCACGATCCAATGAGTTGATCGCTGTTGTTATTCGATGTGTAAAGTCATCGAGGTTAGTGGGTAGCTGTGATGTAGGCTTTTCCCGTTCCACTGTCCATGTCCAGGGACATTTCGTCTTGTTCTTACTTTTTAGTACTGCTCAGTTATTATCTCTACTGACTCCAAGTACCCACAGCCCGGCCCAGGGATTGAACTCATAGTTATTATGTCACCAAATTCATGAAACATTGCTTTCATCCACTAGGCTACTGTCTCGTAGAAATTACCTGTAGGTTACCCGGATCGACATACACCTGATGAAAGCCGGAATGTACAACGGCCGAAACGTTGTGATAACAATAACAAAGGTAAAGCCAACAGTCTGCTTGTAAATAGTGTAAATACTGAGAAAACACTTGTTTATTACGGTATACAGCCAACTGACGCAGACTCGGATGTATTGACGCACCTATTGAATTATCCTTTACGAATACCAGGCAGGTATATAGGTATTATAGGTATTTTAATAGATAAACATAATTTTTATATTAATAATAAAAACACCAATTTTATTGTTGTTTTATACCGTACCTATGAACACTAATGGGTATATTCCTATCCTCATAAATACGCTGGATACTATTGTAGTGATTTTCAAAGCGTAGCTTAGATGTGGTACAAAGCCGAAAGTATGGGGCACCCAGTGAGTATCGAACTCGCTACTCAATCGTAATTGATCTAGCGAGACAAGCTTGCTAACCATTACACCGTCTGGAGGTGCCCACGTTGGACACTGTTGTAAGTGGAGGTAATATGTAGTTCATCACAAGCAGTAGTTTACCTATTTTACGCCGCTGGCGAGCATTGTATTTTGTTGATGCTATAAAGATTATCATTCCATTTCGAACCTCCGTTGTGATTACTCCTCATTCAGTAATCCTTTCTAGGTTACAGCAATTGTGAAAATAGTTTCCTTACAATTGTATTGTTTTTTGTTTTTTTTGTGAATACAACGAGTATGAAGAAACTATCTGTAGTGATTATTGTTTTGAGCGCTTTCACCCAATACTTTACCTATTTTCAGGGTGGGTGTTTAATTGCATAATGAACTTTAAAATAACATATCTCTATCAGTCTCTTCCTAATTCTTGTAAGAGTTTGTTCTCTTTCTATACTCAAAAGTTTGCTTGGAACTTGATTTGATTATTTACTTACGTCATCGAAATTATGTTCGAACACTAAACAAAATATCACAGTTTGTTTTTAAAACGTCATCACCAACGATTTTGCCTGACAATGTTATTTTGTCTAAAGTTATGTGAATATTTCTTTACCATCTCTTGTTTCTTTTAACGCATTTTCTTTTACTTTTTTCCTTTCTTTTTTTCGTTTCTTTCTACTCTTTTTCCACTATTTTTGTTCGTATTTTCCTTGCGTCTTTTTTTTTTCTTTTTTTTTTTAACTTTCTTACTTTCTTTTTCTGTGTTCCATTTTTTTCAGTCAGTCTTTTCTTTTTCGTTCTTTTTTAATCTTTACTTATTGTTTGTATCTTTCTTTTTGTCTGACTTCATTTTCTCTCCTTCTCATATCTTTTCCATAAAAGATTCAATGACGTGACCCCATTTTGAATTTCATGACACCCTATCCGACCGTGCCCGGAAAAAGGAGACGGCCGTTCCCGTAAACTGATACCCGTTCATCGCCACTCTCCGCACGAGTAGACAGGACATTGGTGGAGGCAATTAATCTGCCCTTTCCGTGAGAAGCAAACTTTCAAAACATTTATAAATAAAACAGAAAATAAAAAAGAACTATTTTAATTGCGTTCTTCATTTTAAAGACACACACCCTGACACACAGATGTATATTATTGTATATCTGGACAGGAAACCTTCTTTTATACATATTTCGTGCAATAGTACGGACAAAGAATATCTTGTAAGTTTTTACTTAGTTTTCTAGTTACCTTACAATTTTTCTTTCTGAGGACTAAGAGTTTGTAAAAAATTGTCTGTAGGCAGGGCTAGATAGGGGCCCTAAGCACTTAAAAGATTTGGGGGACGCCATACACCTGCGAGTGAAGTATACTAGCATGAAGCCTCGGTAATTAGTGCAAATAAATAAAGGCTACCGACCGAGAACGGGATCGTGGAAACGCTTGTTGTAAATAAATATAGAATGAACCGAAGGCAAGATACGACCATCGAGAGGGGGAGCTGACGATCAATTCCAACTGAGAACAACACCAACCAAGAAAAAAAACAATCACAGCTGTACAGCCATTTTTAAATGAGCCACGACCAGATTCTAACAGAACTGTGACCAGACGTGATCGTGTCATCAAGAAACCAGCGTGTTACAGCATCACATAAAAATATGGCTAGAATAATGCCAAACGAACACGAAGGTAGTCTACCTCTGTATACAAAATTAAATCCTATTAATTTGATTAGCAATACTAATTTATTCAAGAGAGGAGATGTGTTGTATTGAGTAAATACAAACCTCATTATCTCCATTAGCTCATTCCCTCGTTAACCAATCAGAATGACAATAAAGATTCACTGCATATCAGTAGTCCCTCCTTCATAATGGCACCCTGTTGATTCAAATGTTAATCGGGTTTGACTTATTATTTAGATGTGTACAGCAACATCATATCATTACACTTTCTGTGGGTCCCGCTTTCCTTGATGCCATGGCATCCAGCCGTCTATAGGGATTATTGTTCCGAGAGATTTCGAATAATCCAGCCGTCTATAGGGATTATTGTTCCGAGAGATTTCGAATAATACTTTAATGATTTTCAGGGCGGGTGTTTAATTTTCGTTGTTAGTATATTCTTTGTTTCCGATATATGTTTTTAGTTAGAGTAGTAGTAATTCTATTCATATTGGCGTTTTGACTTACTATTCAAAACACAACCAAAATACCTTGGCTGTTTTTAAAGCGAGTATTGTTAAGTGTAGATCTGTTGCTTTTTCGTAGGAGTGCTTCTAGTGTCTTCAAGTATTTTTTACAACTCGATGTTCTTATTATGCAATTAGGAACAAATCAAGTAAGGAATCATATCGATCAGATTTATTAGGGAAACGATTAGATAAGTCTTTTATTTCAGTAAGAGATAAAAAAATTGCAAGTTTAAATACCGATAACATCATTAACATTAGAGAGCTTAAGCCATTTGTCGTGATACGCATTAAATCACCTAACATTAAAATACTTGCACATGAATGAAAAGATAGTAAGAGAGAGAGAGAGAGAGAGATATTTCTATGCTGTCAGAAATTTTGTCTATTACAGTCCTGAGAAGAGGGAGAGCAATAAAAGAAAAAAATTGTAATAACGAAAGTCAAAAGCACATGAAAGAATTATTCGGAGATTAGAGGGATAATCCCCTTGCCATTGGATATAAGCAGTAAGGCCATGGATATGAATGCTATAATCTTTTCAGCAAAGAGGAAGATAGTCTGAAACAGAGAATTCCTTGGTAGAAATAGAAGAATTTTAATTAGTTTCACAAGATATCTGGAGACAGTTTCAAGAGAAAAGATTCTACACTGCAGAAATTGGAGCAGATACCATGGATATTGTCGAAAGAAATGGGTGGTTGGGTTTAAGTGATTTTTTTGTTTAATTGTTTTCTCCTATTTCTTTTCATTGTATCAAATCACAAGGAGGTATGTTTTGAGGAGAAAATAGGAGAAGACCAAAATAATTATCACCATCTCTCGTCAGTGGCAATAGAAACCGATCAGAATGTGGCTAAGACTAAAGCATAATGTAGCTTCAAGGGTTACCTACTGCATGCACACCTAGCCAGGTGCAACATGGCACTACAAAAATGCCGATATTAAGCGACTGTTGATCAGAGAAGCCTCTCTTAGCGCTAGCAACGATTACGAACTCCTTACTAACTGTTGCAGCTGCCAACCCTGTGCCCTTATAATGAAAGGTTGCAACCACAAATCAGTCATATCACCCAAAATTTAAGAAAGCTAAATCATTATGGACGCGGAGGAAAGATTTGGTAAACCTATATCCAAAACAAGAAACGATGCATAACCCTCTACTCCTGTTCACTATATATGGAAGGGGTGCGGAGTGGACAATAGACGAGCCTGTCTACTCATATTACCCTAATCATAGCACAGTTCGTTACATTCACTTACCCTTGAGAAATGTATAAAACCACTACTTGTCCCCAGCTATGGGTTAAATAACAGGACTTACTAGTTTGTATAGCATTGATTGGCAACCAATTTATTGCAGAAAGCAACGGCAGCCTCCTGCAGGAATTCCTCTGCCAAATCAACCATGAACAGAAAAGAGACATGCACGCCAACGCCTGCCTCTTATATGGCATCTAAGGAAGTGTTGTTCATCAAATACAAGTCTAAAGAGCCACTCAAGGCAGAGGGTTAATGTATGAGTTTGTTGTAATGCCGTAAAAGGAGGAAGTAGGAAGTGCATATTGCGAGGATATGTAGGATAGATAACGGTTGATCCTAGACTTGAAGATAATAAGTTTGTAGTGATCGAGGAAGTATTCTCTCCGGATGACAGTATTTGTTCATTTTTGTTAAAGCATATTATATTTTTTCATTATCCGATCCAGGGGTTGGATTCAGGACTACAAGATGATATAAATACTTGAGAAACCAACTGCGCAGGTCTTTCTGATTTGATAACACGCGCAGAAGTAATGATATAAATATTGATACGATATACAAATTTATAAATAGGAATAGATAGGTCTACCTATCGCCCGGTTCACGAACCTTCCTTGTCTTTTGAACAAGAGTAGAAGTTTATCCCTTGTTTCCTGTTTAGGATTGGGTTTCTGGTTCCTTCTAAAGACTTTTCATTCTTTTATGCGTTTCGAATCCCTCCAATCTTGACATTCTTCACTTCTAGAATTAACCATTATCTTTCCTTTTCACGGAAGCTTGGATCGGGATCAGATGTCATATTTTTGCTAACTCTTTTGCTTCTATGTAAAGTGGTTGAAATTTATTTTTTGTAAACGAATTTGAGATAATCAAGAGTTTTAGTGAAAGAGAAGTGGTTTGTAGTCGGCCATCAAGAAAGATCAGTATACAATCTCTAAATACTGAAGTTGGAACACCGACCACAGACGCAATTACAAAAGTCCTCAACTCAAAATTGATATTTAAAGAAAGGAGCAGAGTATGGTCACACTGGTGGCATAACCAAACTCAGTAATATAGTGTCTGCGATGAGAATTAGCAAACAATTACTCGTCAGTGAAGCAATCCACTGCTTAGCTTAATACGGCAAAAAGCCACAAATTCTTTGCACTCGGTAAAGTAAAAACTTAGTACAGTGGATATTGTTTGCAAAAAAAAATCTTGTGAAATATAACTATATTTTTTTATTCATTTATTATATAATTATTTATTATTTTTAGCGAAAAACTTCTTGTTAGGTTTTAAGAGAAACGTATTTCAAAAGAATTCGTTTGCAACAAAGAGACAAATTTCAAAATTCATCTACCTATGTAGGTATATATATGTATATGTAGGATTAATACAAATAAAATGTGTGTATGAGTGTGTTTATGAGTCTCTGTATGTGAGTGTGAGCGTGAGTATGTGTTTGTGTATGCATGTTTGTGAGTGTTTGTATGTGTCTGTGAGTGTGTGTGTATGTATGTGCATGTGTCTGAGTGTGTAGGTGAGAGTTTGTGTGCGTGCTATGAGTGCGTGTGTACGTATATATATATATATATATATATATATATATATATATATATATATGTGTGTGTGTGTGTGTGTGTGTGTGTGTGTGTGTGTGTGTGTGTGTGTTGCAGGATAACCAGGTGGAACGGGTTTAGTTCGATATCCAGGAAAGGATATAAGGGTTGTTTCGTGTGTAACCAACCGTCACAAGGAATATATGACACGCACTTTGAACACATGAAGAAAACCGAGATACAACCTGGGTTATTCAATACAGCTTTCGTCTCCCTTCTTGCCGGACGACCGGTCTCGAACTCGGCCGTCTTTTTCTGTCTGTCAGTCAGTCAGTCTATCTGTTTTTGTGTGCCAGTTGCCTTTCTCTCAGTGCGCAACATCCCGCTTTGTCGTTTCGTTGCGTGTCTGTCGTTTGATATACGTACAAATTGACTGTCACGAATTTTGCCGGGGCGAGACAAACAGCTTGGCATTGGTTCTTTTGAGCGGGTTAGTAATCGCGTCGAAGACCACTCGCTCAATGGTTTGCTCTATGAAAACATCAGAAAAATTTTCCTTATATATATATATATATATATATATATATATATATATATATATATATATATATATATATATATATATATATATATGACATAACGATATATAATTTTGTATAATTTTATATATCAACAGAGTCAGGGTAAAAAGGCGATGGAGAGAAAAGAAATAGAATACAGATGAATTTGGCTGATTGAAACAAAAATATTATTTCAAATAAATTTTGATACGACCTACGTCTCTCGTTTCAAGCGCGCATGTGTAGACGGGTAACATCAACAAAGCCAAGTCTGATGAAATCCTAACGGGTGAAAGACGTCACAAGAAATTTTACAGTTTGTCATATATATATATATATATATATATATATATATATATATATATATATATATATATATATATATATATAGAGTTTTTGAATAAAAACAGACCACTTTAAGGTTCCATGTATTGTTATTATTAAAAATCTTTAG